AATGTATTGACTATTTTTTACGCAATAATGTTTAAACTTATTATAATATGTAAGCGATTATTGTCGTATAAAATTGTATTTAACTTTGTAATTTGTTTTTAAAAAAAAAAAAAAAAAAAAAAAAAAAGAAATATTAATTTTTCGAGTGCTCGTTAATTTATGACTGCAATTATTATAATTAATTTCTTTCGCATATTCTTTTTTTTCACATCGTAAAACGTATTTTATTCTGTGACTTTATCAAACGACATTTCAGAATGAGAATTATTTTCTTCGATTTCATTAAACCCACTTTTTTCTTTGACTTCATCAAGCGCATTTTCTTTATTGAATACGTCAAACGAAATTTCAGGTAAATAAGAATCTTCTTCGATTTCATTAAACGCACTTTTTTCTGTAGCTTCATACAAAGTAGTTTCAGGGTGCGTATTTTTATCTTCGATTCCATTAAACGTACTTTTTTCTTCTTTGGTTTCATAAAACTTACTCTCAGGGTGCGTATTTTTTTCTTCGACACTTTCAAAATACATTTCAACGTCAGAATTTTTTTTGTTCATTTTATTAAACGCACTTGTTGTTTCTGCGATTGATCCAAACGAAATTTCAATGTACACCTTTTCTTTTTTTACTTCATTAAAAATAACTTCAGGATCCATAATTGCAGTATACGAATGTTCTTTCTTGACTTTGTATAACGAATTTTCTTTTTTGATTTCACGTAAATCAATTTCTTTTTTGATTTCACCTAAATCAATTTCTTTTTTGATTTCACGTAAATCACTTTCTTCTTTGACTTTACGCAAAAGTATTTCGGGATACTCAAATACGACGTAAGAATTTCGATCTTCGATTGCGTGATACGAATTTTCCTTTTTCATTTCACGAGACGTATTATCTTTTTTGATTTTTTCAAACGTAACTTCGGGATACGTAATCATAGAATACAAATGTTTTCCTTTGACATTGAAAAATGAATTTTCTTTTTTGAATACACGTAACGTATTTTCTTTATTCGATTCGTCATTTTTTATGAGCACATCCTTAATACCAATTTGTCTTTCTTTTGTCTTTTTAACAATAAAACGATAAATATCTTCACCAAGCTTCATCATGCTTGTTGTAATCAATATTGGTAACTCTTGTGCAACAAGATCATCTTTCAAAAGCAAACCTAAAGCATACACATATGCACCTTTCAATTCTAATTTTTTCATATGAGCTTCCTTTGAATTAACATCACTATTTTCATTATTATTAACCTCAGAACTGGTAGAGGTGTTCATTTTTATAATAAAATTACACTGAACTGTAGCACACAAAAAAATAATGATCGAAACGACTGTTATATTATGAATTTCTTTTCTTCTTCAACCAACGTCCGTTCTCTGCGAAATCTGATCGACTAATGAAACATTTCTACATATTTTGTTCTTCTCATAAGAAAATTGACGAACTTTTGTCTTATTTCTATTGTACTTCTATTGTTTGATGTTGTAACAGCTAGCCATAAAGAAATTCAATCGTATAACCGTCAAACACACATTCAATGAAAATAACAAAACACAGTGGCAACAATATTTTTCCGTTAACGATCTGATAAAAGAAATAAAACGTGTATCTACGATAAACCAGAAAAGTATAAAGAAAATCTCGAGAATTGATGGAAATATCGCATATTTTGTGATAATTACTAAATAAAGTCTTTCCGATACAAAACACGATTCGATTATTTACAAACTACAGGAAAACAAATCTCGAACGTTCGAGTTATTGAAAATTCGAACACAACCCAATTGCCAAAACTCTCTTTTGGTTTATTAAATAATTTCATTCTTAATTCATTTTTATTATATAATTTAGTATTTTTCTTTTGGAAATACTAAATATGATACAAAGATGAAAGATAACTATTAGATTTTGGGAGGGAAAAAAAGCAAATATAAATTGAATGAAACATAAATTTGTAAACTGTGTGTACGTATAAACGAATTTATTGTTATACTGTAACGTGTGAAAAAGTGATTGACAGAGGAGATTTGACAGAGGAGTGGGAGAAGCACGAACAGAGTAAGAAATAAAGTAACGGAAAGAGTGGGGGTAGTACGATTGAAAAGCGCGCGTAACACGTGATCATATATTTAATTAAAATTCAATACAATTGTTGAAAATAAACTTATTCTGCCTGCATACCAAGATATTTCGTTTGTCTTATCGTTTAATACACAATCATTGGAAATATTTCGGTATTGGTATTTTTTTTTTTCATTATAACCATTAATTGTTATTTATAACCTTCAATTATTAAACCATTAATAATTTTTTATTATAACCATTAATTAATAAAACCAATTTGTCCAATTTTGAATAACAAAATTAATTTAACATAAATGTATTTAAACGAGGATATTTGTCCCATCCGAGAAGTATTGAATATTGTTAGTTAAAACTTGTGAATGCTAAAATGAATACATTTTTATTTCTTTGCGTTTAACAATAAACTCTTATCCATTTACACCTTTCATATATATGTAGCATCAAAACGGGAAAGGCAATACTAGTAAATCCTCGTCATTAGTATGAATATGAAGAGCCTCCAGACGAAGTCGGAAATAAGACTTTTTGGAAAGTTTTTCCTATTCATCGATCATAATACTTTGATATTCTATAGAATATCAAATTACTATTTAAACAACATTGAAAAGAATACATCCTCGAGCACAGGCCGACGCAAACACCCCCCCCCCACACACACACCGCTAATCGCTCCCATACGCATACACAAAAACGAGCATGGTGGGGGTTGTTGAGACTGTGTGTCCCTATAAAGGAAAATCTGTATTCTTTGTCCTTTATCGTATCGGAAGATAAGCGGGTTTAGAATGAAATGTTTTATATCTGCATTTTATTAAAAATCATTCGAAGAGCATACTAAAAAACAAATACAGTCAAACCTCCTTTAACGCTGTAAGTGCGTTCCGCGTTATATGGAAATCGCGATCTGCGAGTGCCGTGTTATAGAAGGTTTGACTGTATTTTTATAACTAATTAAACACCTTTACTGCTCCGTGAATTATACGTGGGTTTATAAGACTGTGCGCACTTGTAGAAATTGGAACGTTGCTTAAATTGTAATTTGATATTCTATAAAATATCAAAGTATTATGTTCGATAAATTGGAAAAACTCTCCAAAAAGTCTTATTTCCGACTTCGTTTGTAGGCTCTTCATATTCATAGTAATGACAAAGATTTACTAGTATTGCCTGATTTCCCGCTTTGACGGTAACATATATATTATTAGTAAACGAATGAACATCGTTTTTCGTATCAATCACGCATATAATACACAATAGTAAGCTCGAGAATCTTTTATATTTTTCTCGACTGTCAATTGCCCGATTTTTTTAACATGCACGTAACACGTACACACACACACACACACACACGCAATTTACTGACGCAAGAAACTAATACATTATTCCATCAACTGTCTTAACTCGCATACTTACACCACTATATAAGTTACTCATAATAATTAATAGTAAAGTATTCTTTTTTTTTTAATTGTATTCCCTGTTGGAATCTTTCCAACGTTTGTGTGTAACGATAAGACAAAAATAAGACAAGAACAAGAAAAGCGAAATGTCTTTTGGTTTGCAGGTAGAATAAATTTATTTTAACAATCGTACTATATATTAATGGTAATGTTAATGTTAAAGCTAATGTTCATTATATGATTACGTTATGTGTACATTTCGTTTCAAGCCTTTTAACTTTTACTTTGTAAAAATAGTCCAAAATAATATCCAAATAAATTAATGTGAAAAGTATGTTCGAAATAAATGTAGTATAGTGAAAAAAAAATTATAAATCTTATACAAATATATATATGTAAAGGAAATGTATTCCTTTGATGTGTTTTGTCGCACTTCAAGCAGCTCTYGTTGGAAGGRTCGATTAATAAAATCGGTAGAAAGAAATGAGTGGCGATTGATAAACAAAGGAAGGGAGAGAATACAAAATAAAGCAGATGT